GCCTTTTTTCCCCTACCCGAAGCACCCAGCCCTACAAACGGACAGGCACCTTGTCCCCACGCATCCTCTTCCGCGGGTTCCAACAGCCCGATGGTCACGTCCACGGGCATGTCCCACAGGTTGGACGCGGTGCGGGACATGTCGTTCCCGCCTGTCTTCACTGAGCCGTCGCGAATCCACACTTTGAAGCGTGGCCAGCAGGTCAAGGGGGGGGATTCTGCCCCTTTACTCAGCTCTGGTGAGACCCCACCTCGAATGCTGCGTCCAGTTCTGGTGTCCCCACTGTAAGAGGGACGTGGAGCTGTTGGGACGAGTCCAGAGGAGGCCCCAAAGCTGAGCCAGGGGCTGGAGCAGCTCTGCTGCGAGGACAGGCTGAGGGAGCTGGGGGTGTTCAGCTGGGGAAGAGAAGACTCCGGGGGCACCTTATCCCTGCTGCAGCGCCTGAAGGGACCTACAGGGAGGCTGGGGAGGGACTTTTACAAGTGTCAGTGACAGGACAAGGGGAAATGGGTTTAAGTTGAAGGAGAATAGATTTAGATTGGACCTTAGGAAGAAATTGTTCAGTACGAGGGCGGCAAGACTTTGGAATAAATTGCCCAGAGAGGTTGTGGCTGGCCCCTCCCCTGGGGCAGGTTGGACGGAGCCTTGAGTAGCCTGATCTAGCTGAGAGGCGTCCCTGCCCGTGACAGGGAGGTTGGACTAGGTGATCTCTGAGGTCCCTTCCAGCCTTGGCCGTTCTATGATTCTATGAAACAGTCGCCTCACGTCTAGCTTTTAAAAACGTCTGGCTGTTAAGCTGTGAGAGTGTCAAAAGTGCCAGCGGCTGCATCCCCAAATCCCAGCTTTCTGAGTTTTTTCCACATTTATTTCCACTGTTGGATGACAATTCCTTCAGGAGTTCGGAAAAGTAAAGGGGGTACTCTTACAGGGCTCAGCTTGCTGGTGCCAGTAGAACTTGTAACATCAAGTTACAAGACATCAAGTTACAAGTAACATCAAGAACTTGTAACATCAAGTTACAAATTGGGTGTGGAATGCAGGTATCTGGGATGTTAAAAGCTCCGGTGGGCTTTGCTTGCTCTGAGGTTCACTGGGTGGAAGTGGGGTGGGAGGCAGGCAGGAGGCGTTCACGATCAACGCGACATACGTTCGATGTCTCCAGCCATCGTGAAGTCTGCTGAAACGAGTGGTTGTTGCCTCTTTTCCCCAGATTACCTGTCATGTTTGTGTATTTTTTTTTTCCTGGCATACATCTTGGCCTCTGAGCTCAATGAAAATTGATCTGGCCAAAAAAAAGCAGGGATCTGTGGGAAGCGTGGGGCCGGTAGTAATTTTTCCACTCCACCTGCATCATGTCCCTGATGTGATTTTCTGCCCGGCCGCACAAGTTGTGCTGACCCAGAGCAGCAGCTGCTGTGGCCCGGGAGCTGGTTCTGGTGGGTGACACGATGTGTTTTCATACCAGCTTAAAGTGTTTGTGAAAATTCCAGTTTTAGGTGTTTTTTAGGGCTTGTTGTAAGCCTGTCTAACTCCAGTCTGTGGCAAAAATGGACAATATTTCCATGTTTACCCTGAGAAAAGTAATATTTCTGGGGGTTTTTGTTTTTTTTTTTGCTGTGGGATCATTTAAGAGGAACGATTTGGAGCGTAGCCATGCAAAACTGAGGGTGGAGGGAGCAAGTCTGAAATAGCTGGAGGTGAGCGTCGCTTTGCCTGGATTTGTTTCCCAGCGGGACGGGACTGCTGCTGCCACCGCGGCGTTGGGTGCGTCTGGGTCGCTCTTGCAGGCTGGGTTGGGGCGGTGGCGGT